GCAGTTCTGAAGGCAAAAGGGGGTCCAACCCGTTACTAGCATGGGGTACCTAATAAAGTGGCCGGTGAGTGTATATGTAATGAAATACAAGTATTTGTTTTTTTTAAAGAACTTTTTTGATCTCAAATTGGAGAAATTTCCTCTCTGCATTTAACCCATCCTCTTGGGGAGCAGTGGGCTGCCATTGTGCGGCGCCCGTGGAGCAGGGTGGGGTTAAGGGTCTTGCTCAGGGACCCAGATTGGGGGTCTGTGGGGATCAAACCGGTTACTGTAACCTTCTCAGAGCACAGACTGCTCTAACCACTAGACCAACACTCCCCCAGGTAGACAGACACACCGTCCTGCTGACCATCAGCTCATCTTAGAGAACATTCTGGATCTTTGTATACACACCAAATTTCTATGCACATATTTTTTATTTAAATTTCCTATTCTTCAGATTTTTTTTCGTTCATAATTTTGCCAGCGTATTGTAAAGTTTGTACCCTCTAAACCTCAAGGTATGTCTTTATAGTTCAGTAAAACCCATTTTTCCTGCCTTCAGTTCCTCCACATCCATCGTCCTCTTTGAGACAAACAAGTCATCATCGACTTTCCCTTTCTTTGCCTTTTATCAGTTGCTTTATTCATCAGTTATCCTGTTTTGACAACATTTCCTCTCCAGATGAGAAACATTTCTGTTGTATATATTAGAGCAGCAGCAGCATCTTTGCTGCGTTCAGTACAGGGAAATAATATAATGTGACAAAAGAACAAACCACTGAACTAAAAACAGATACTGTTAAGAGGAAAGCAATGATACTTTGTTTTATTTTACACTGTTTGACATCCGACTCTATAGGGACGTTTTCAGCATGTAATCTGGAACAGAAGCCACCGTACATAAAGGAAACAATGCAGCATTAGAACTTTTTTTGTTTTTCTTTTTGTGTAGAAAAATAACCCATCAGGATAGAAGTTATTTGAAATTTTTCCTCCTAACTGTTCAGAGGCTTTTTTTCCCCTCACATCTGCATCTCTACGTGAGAACAGATTTAGGAACACGACTCCTGCAGAGTTATTTCCATCCCCTGGTTCCTCTCTGCAAATCTCCATGTGAAGTGCAAACTCTGCAACCAGCAACCTGCAGACGAAGAAGTCAAATGATTGAAATGCACTAACAAACGGTAACTTGAAAAGCGTCTGCCCGTGCGTTCAGAAGAGAAAGCCACTGATGAGGTTATGTGTTCACCTTTTTGTAGGAAAAACCAATGCAGCTCAGCAACAACAGCTAATCTGAGTCTATAATCTATAATAGTCTATAAGCAGGAAGTGTTTCAATTGAAAAAGCTTCCTTATCATTAATAATTGGTAATTGATAATGATAATATCATTATCATCAATAAAAAAAATGCTATGGAGAAAAAAATATATATCAAAAGTGATTAAAAAAATAAGAAATACATACAAGGGCACTCTGTCATGTTGGGGTTTAGGTGTCTAACCCACATGCAGAAACACTTACGGAGGCAGGGAAAAGTTTAAAGGTTTATTTACAAATATTTACAAAAGGCGAACTGGAACTTGGCTGGTCAGACTGGTCATGGCAGGATCACCACTGCTCCGAGGTGGAACTGATCAGCAGGGGGGGGAACCTTAAGGGTCCAGAGGCAAGTCGGCAGGCAGAGGACTGAGGGCAAAGGCAGAGGCTGAATTGAGTGCAGGCAGGCAGATTCCAGACAGAGATATTCTCCAGGATTTCAGGTTATCTGACAGGACTGGATCATTACTGGCAAACACTCTGGCAGGGAAGTGTTAGCCTCCTCCTCCTTAAATAGGGCCTCCTGATGAGCAGATGGAAGACAGGTGTTGCAGTCAGTTCATGCCCTCAGGAGATCTTGTGCGCCCTCTGGTGGAGAAGGTGGACAAAGCCTCCAGATCCCAACACACTCGGTTCTGAGTTCGAGCCCTACTCCCACAGACTGCCACTCTGGGTTCCAGAGCAAGACTCTTAACCCCACACTGCTCAATTATAGACCTATATCCAATCTTCTTTTCTTATCTAAAATTCTTGAGAAAGTAGTTTCCAAACAAGTTTGTAATCACTTCCACCATAATTAACTTTTTGAAGAGTTTCAGTCTGGCTTTAGAGCTCATCATAGCACTGAAACAGCTCTGGTGAAAGTCACTAATGATATTCTCATGGCCTCAGATAATGGACTTGTATCTGTGCTCGTCCTGTTGGATCTCAGTGCTGCATTTGATACAGTTGATCATAATATTCTTTTAGAAAGACTTGAATATTTTGCTTCAATTAAAGGAACAGCTCTAGACTGGTTTAAATCATATCATGTTTTAATTGTTTAAATTTTATTTCCATTTACCAATCATGTTTGCCTGCAACCTTCTAATGAAGCCATCTAACCATTATTTGACTTTGTTGACAGAACTTTTTTTATCTGCACTTGAGAAAATTCGAGTTGTTTTCACGACGTCTGGAATTGAAGGAAGTAGAACCTCAGGAGAAAAGCTCCACTTTGACCTTGCAGTGTTTTGTACGACTTGTCCACTCTATGACTCAGTAGCTCTTAAAACCTTCAGCTGCTGAAGCTTGAAGTGATGTTCTTCTGGGTGACCTCATCACTAACTCCAGTTATTGTAGATTTTATAAATGAAACTCAATTCTTTTCATTCTGCCAGAAGTCTTGATTTATCCTGACCACAAAGACATCTTCCTGATTAGTCTACATACATTTCTACATTTTCTATTAGTTTGAGCTTTTGTTTGATATACTTTCGATGTTATTTTAATTTTCAGATTTAGTTAAAAAAGCTAGGGACATTTAAAAAAAAATTAAATTAAAACTTTGATAAGACTCATAACAACGGCTGTTATTTTAGTAAAGTCAGCCTGAACAATAAATTAATTAGGTGTTTTCTCCCCTTTTTTATTACTTCTGGTTTCTCAGAATTAATAGTTAAACTATAAAATCTTCCTTCCTCAATCAGCAACTGCAATCTTTGGGGACTCATCTTTCAAGAGAGAAATAGAGGTGATAATTAGTCACTTCTATTTAAGTTTTTCTTTCAATAAATCACTGACTGCTAAATGGAAGAAGAGATTCATAATAATTTTTCATTACATACAAAAATAAATCCATCTCCACAGGACAGAATCTAGGTGACCTTTAGTGACCTTCTACTTTTTGAAAAAATAACTAACCACGTCATCTTTAGCTGCTGATGCACCTTCTGGTTCTCATTCCTAAAACATCTTTCCTTTATTATAATCAGATCAGTTTTGAAGACAAGAATGATCATAGAATGAAAGAACTCCTGCACCCATGCCTGTAAACATGCATTTCCATCTTGATGATTTTTTTTCTCCTTCATGAAATCTTTGCAGAGTTGCCACTTTCTCTGTCTGAGTGTAACTGTAGTGTACAGCAGTGTCTGCCTGTTACCACGTGCATTTACTCATATATGTAACTCTGCTGCAACAATAAAGGAGCAGATATGAACCCCATTTTCCCTCTGATAGCTAGTTTACTCATAATATGCCCTACACATAATAGAGTAGACAAGCAACAGGAAAATGCACTGAGAGGAGCTATGCTAGGCGCCGTCAAAGCGATAGCTGGGCCGACTACACGACGACAGCTTGAATTTACGGCCAAACTGTTGAGGTGAAGCGATGTGATCGGTGTGGAGGTATGACCGAGTGAACAAAGAGGACAGAAGAAGCAGCTACTGCTAGTTTACAGGGGATTTCTTGGTTAGCTTAGCATCCGGATTCTGGTATAATAGGACACCTCTTCTGGTTTGAATATTTCAAAAGCAAAACTCAAAGGAAAATTATTGTTGCTAAAGAAAGACTGCAAGTTATGTTAAGCAAGAGAAGAAAAGCATAAATTCAATTACACTTAAACCCACGTCTGTTTGCATGGAACATGATCAAAACTCATCAAGAAGAATAACTTCTAGTTAGTATCGACTCTGCACTCATAATGTTACTGCTTGTACTTTCACTTGGACTGGAAATATTTGGCAATGGGGCATCCCAGCATGCATTGTACCTCTAAAGCTGATAAGGAGCTTCCTTCAGAAGGCTGAACAAAACCATAAACATTATCTATAGTGAGATAGAAAATGAGTCACTCTGCAGATTGCCTCACAATTGGAAAGGATTTAAAAAGTTAGCTCAGAAAACTTCCTTTTGCATTTTTAATATTTCAACTTTAGCTTTGATTTGTTTTGTCTTTTATTATGTTTCTGTTGTTTTATAACATTTTGTCATACTTATATGTTAAGTAATTATAAGTAATGTTCATTATTATAATTATTTTGTTTTGGGCAATCGTGTTAGGCTCCGTGTAATCAATTCAGTTCAGTTTATTCCTATAAGGCCAATTCACAGCAAATATAATCTCAAGGCAATTTAAAGAGGCAATACTGTCAGACTGGTTTAAAAAAAACAGTTGACTGAATCCAGTCATTGACCTGCTAGATCCTCCTGAATGAGCTTGCAGCCACAATTTTCGCTTGCATTTTGTAGTTGACCCTTCAGCAATCCCTCACACTGAGCATGCATGCAGTGCCAGTGGAGAAGAAAACTCCCCAGGGCTTTACCGTATTAACAGGAGAAGCTGAGCAAGTGAAATTAGACACTGCCGTCGGACAACATGCAGTAATTTATAAATGTTTTAAATCAGGTTGGGTCCGGATCCTGACCGCTCTAAGAACTTTTTTACACCAGTGATTGTAAATAACTTCCATGCAGAGGATTGACATTCGTTGCCTGTATTGATTTTGCGCAACCGAGGAGCTCTTTTGATGAGATGATGTAAGAAAACCCAAGGATTAGTTTGTGTTTTTATTGCAAATGTTATTGTGAAGGAAAAACTCTTTCTACGAAGAAATTAATCAGCAGCACTTGGTATGTCTTCATATCACAGAAGCACAGCAGGATTGGAACAGAATGTGACTCATCGGTGGGAAAAATATGAAGATAGAGGAGCCAAAAATAGGCAGTGAGGGCTGTTCTCTCCTACAAATTTAAATGGCTCGCCTCACAGCCAGCTGGGACTCATGAAATATTGTTTGATTGTTGTAATCCATCATATCTTTTGACACCCAGGGACATACATGGGAGAGTTTGCATTTCTCTATACAGTTGGGACTTGGACTCCTGTGATAAGAGAAGCAGGGAAAAGAAAGGTGAAGAAATAGAAACCTCTCAAGGGGAGGCTTTCATTCATCTCAATATTTTCTATTATTATACTAATCTCCACAGATAGTATTGGACCCTGGGATTTCCCTGCATAAGTTTTAAATAATTCTGTCAATGAATAATTACTTTTTGTTTTATTCATTGTGGAAACACGAAGGGGAATAATCTATCTCCATTTACTTGCATGTTTTTTTAGCCAGGCTATAATCTACTATCAGCAAGATTAAATCCTGCTATGGCTGTATAGCTTTAATTACTTGTCACCACACATACGCTCATTAAATTCAGGTAAGACCCACGTTTTGCTCTCTATTATGTCAGTTCATGGTTATTTCTTGACCTTCATCACATCCTGGTATTTTCAGGCTACAACAATAATATCCAGGATATGAGCAGAGAGTTTCTTGCTTTGGGGTTGATCACTGATTCTTCTCCTCGCCGGGTGGAGAAGAAGAAACCCTCAGCGGACCATAACCATGTTGCACAGCGAGAATGGCTGTTATTTACAGAGTTAATTTATTGGTGTCCTGCAGAGTAACCTCTGCCTCCAAAGCCCTCTCTTGAGATCTTCAGTTTTCAGATTAATTCTCTCTCTTTCCCTCTTATGTTACATTTCTGTTCTTTGGAAAGAAAAAAGCAGAAGAATAAGCAGATTTTCTAATATTTAAATCATAACTTCTTAAAACCAAGAAGATGTTGAATGGTTAACTCTTTATAGGGAACTCAGTGAAATACTTTCTAAATTTTCAACCAATAGAGTTATTGGAATCCAGGACAAGACCTTATCAAATTTGGAACATTAAAAAATACGGATATTTTGATGGCAAGAATGAATGTCAATGTAATAAGAAGAAACTCCAACTTTCCTGAATATATTAAGAAAAATAACTAAAGTGCTTCTAGAAGAAAATCAA